CTGGATTTCCTAGCAACAAATATTCTTTTTTAACCTCAATAGTCTATAAATAATGTTCTTCCTTCTCTTTTGGCAAGTACTAATAATCACTGAAGCTTGACTTTTGAACATTGTGGCTTCCACACCCTCATCATGAAAAGCTAGGGGGGGAAAAAGCTGTGGCTGGTGATTATTAAAAATACAAATTTGATAGTTGCATAAAATCCCAGGAGAGAAAAGCTGAGAAATTTCCTAAAGAGTTTAACGCTGCTTATAAATGGAAATGGAGTAATAAACTTTGTTCTCAATAGACTGTTCTCAATTAGTGGTTTTCATGCTGTGTATCCTATTATGCTATTTGATGAGAAATGTAGTAACAGTGGGAGAGTTTCTCAAAAAATGACTAGTTTTTATAAGGTATGTTGTTGAGTATGTTGGATTCACTCTCTGTTCCCAAGAGGAAAACTCATGATCTCCCTCCCCAGAATATGCCCCACAATACAGTACTTTACAAGGCCCAGGGTTGCTACATTTGATGTTTAGAGTTCATTGGAAGAGAAGCAAGGGTCTCCGCAGGGTGGTCAAAAAAAGTCCAGCTGGTGGCCATAATGGTGTGAGAACTCTTCCCTGAAAGCCCAAAGTTCTAGATCGCTGGTGGGAAAATGACCATATAGGGATGCGGCTAGATTGACAGTTTGCGGTTCTTGGAGGCCATGAACTAATACAATTCGCTCTTCGTGCTGTTGTGCATTTTTGCAGAAGGCGTTTTATCTCCCAGCGCTGCTCTCTAGAGTTTTTAGAAGACATAGTGGAATGTGCCAGTGTGCGCAGGTACTTGTCCAAAAGCAGCATTAACCTTTCATTGCATGCTTTGCAAGTCCTTTTTCCCACCACCCTCATTCAAGCCAAAAACCTAAGCATGCATGCTCATTCCGACTATGACATCTGCAGTCCTTGTATTATCCTTTAGGGGTTTTATTAATCACGGGTATTTGCATATTTGTTTTTTTTTCTTAAACTGTAGAACAAAGCATATATCTGGATCTCCACGACATAAAGGCTTGAAGAAAGTACATTTCATCAAGAATATGAGGCAATACGACACACGGAATAGCAGGTGACCTTTACTTTAACCGAAGGATTCTGTTAACTATGCCAATTCATGCACATTTTGGTTCACAGATTATTGGGGGAACGAAATGGCTGAAAGAGTGGGATGACCTTCTGGGTCTCTTAGGTGCACCCAACTGGCTTTCTCTGCCCAGTGGCAGAGCTGGACCCAATTGTCTTGTCAAAAGCCTCATCATTTTCCTTCAGAAAACTGTTGAAATTAGGCTGAAGGCCACAGATTGAACAGTCTTCTTGGAACAGCAGTGGCTATTCAGGCTTAACCAAAGACCAGTCTCCCTCCCCACCCCATATTTACCCTGAATTGTAAGTGGAGGTCCTCTTAAGAATCAAAGAAGCTTTTTAAAATGAAGAGGTAGGTAGAAGGCGACTGTTGATTAGGCCTGGAGCTGCTTTGAAGACTGTTCAGAAGATTCAGATAATCCAGCTGGGACCACCCAAGGAGTTACGGGTATAGCGAGGCTTGCCTGTGTAATGCTACACAGCCAGCTCTCAGATGCAATTCAAGGTGCTGACTATCACGTTTAAAGCTCTACAAGACCTGGATTTCTCTGAGATCACCTCCTCTGAGTTGAATCCACCCACTTGGTGAGATCTGGCAGAGAGGGCTTGTGGAGGCCCACCCTCGGCAGAGATTACACCCTCAAGCCCTCTCAGTGATAGCTCCCCACCTCTGGAATATAAAAACCAGACCACTCTCTCTATTTCATTGCCAACCAGCCGTGAAAACCTGGCTCTTAGAAAGGTGTTTGGGGACATCTGTAGATTCTGCAATCCTGAGTGGGAACACAACAGAACCTCATTATGTCATTGATTTATTGTATTTTAATTTTTACGTTGTTACTTGCAAGCTGCCAAAATGGTGTGGGAGGAGTTTGGCATAGTCCAGAGAGAAATAGAGTCAATAGTATATGCATACAGAGGATCGACTAATTTTATAAATGAGCTATTGTATTTTACGTGCAATCAGTTTTACATGTCATTGATTTATTGTATTTTAATTTTTACGTTGTTACTTGCAAGCTGCCAAAATGGTGTGGGAGGAGTTTGGCATAGTCCAGAGAGAAATAGAGTCAATAGTATATGCATACAGAGGATCGACTAATTTTATAAATGAGCTATTGTATTTTACGTGCAATCAATTTTACTCAATAGCTATTAATTTGTTGTTTTCAGTTTTGCTTCTGGCTGTTGCCTTTTAGTACACACATCCATCTGCACACACTTCCACGTACACACACATACATATATACACACGTACAGGTACGGGTATACTCACAAGAAATGTGACACATGTACCCAATTTCTCAGGAGGAGAAATCTCCAGGACCGGATTAAGCTTAAATTATGAACCTTGAAAAGGTGGGGAAACAGTGGCCATTGCCCCATTTTTCCTCCCTGACAACTTTTTCTGGGGAGGGAGAGTTGTCTTACATTCCAGATTCTCTTCCGTTGGAATGAATGAGGTATCTACTTCAGCTTCCTAGTAGCTTTTGTAGAATGGAAAATTGGGGGATGGAATTTAGAGACTCCACCCTGCAAACTAAATGTTCTACCAATATTCCAGAAGCCTTCCTCACTGAAGACCATGCAGCAGAGATAGTTATGGATGATGACTTCCATGTTGGGGGCTGGGGGAACTGATTTATCTAAACTAGTGTTTCTCAACCTTAGCAACTCTGAGATGTGTGGACTTCAAGTCCTAGAATTCCCCAGCCAGCGTGCTGGCTGGGGAATTCTGGGACTTGAAGTCCACACGTCTCAGAGTTGCTAAGGTTGAGAAACACTGATCTAAACCGTGCATCAGGAAAAGTATGAAATAGCTATATTTCTTAAACAAAAAGCTGGGTTTCTAATTGCTCACAGAAAGCTATTTAATAAAAACCTGAGTTGAAAGGGCTACCAAGCAGGCTAATTATCAATAAAAATGCTACTATAATTCACAATATTCTTTCCCTCTCAATTTGCAGGATAGTACTAATTTGCGCTAAACGAACTCTTTGTGTGGCTTTTTCTATCCTGCCCTATGGAGAGAACTTAAGGATCAGGTGAGAAATTCCCATTTTTGTTACAAGTACCTTTAACTCTGCTGGGCTATGAAGTTGTCACCTTTCTAAGCTTACTCTGAAGTAATTCCCCTTTTTTACTCGGTTGGATCAGATCACACTGTTCATCCTTGCAATAATATGGTTTTGCTTCAGACTCTATAATTTTGATGATTGTTTTAAAATGGGGCTGATTCTTTGTCCTTTATTTTCAGAATAATTAGGCACAGAATTGTATACTTTCCTAGTGAAGAGTTATAGCATTTAAGTGAAAGATTTGACTTGAATTTAAAGAGTTAGCCAAGTACCGTTAATAGTTAACATATTAAAGTGTGAAGGGAGAGTTTTTTCATGCAGAGGAGAAGAAGGCCATTTTTGCTGGTACAGGAGATAAGGTGCAATTTAAGTTGTTAAAGTTAAAAGCTCCAATATATATATGTGGCACTTCTGCTCTTCTAGATGAGTATAGTGGAACTATGCTAGTAAGTTTGACTCGTTTGTTCTTATGGTCAACATTTTGCATTTTAGTTTACATAAAGCTGTGTGTACGAGCTTAGTTTTGAAACACTTGTTCCAGTCTAACAGGACAGATCGATGTAAAGATGTCCTTTTCCATGTATAAGATGATGGCTATTTGGGGGACCATCCATCCAGCATGAATGCACATTAGCTCATCCAAGTGCTGTCGATGATGTGTACAACAGCATTGCATGCTGTACAATATATTCCTGGCAAGTGGCTGAAGCTTGTGGCCAACACATTTTGGAATTTGAGAAGAAATGAATCACACACAATTAAAGCTTAATTAAAGCAGGGTTGAGAAGCAAACATTCATTTAACGACCCTTCCTCCTGAAATCCTTTGACATGTTTCAGATTCCTGCTAGATGTATATCACATTTAATTAGCCTTGTAATAAAAATAAAGCAATTTGTGTCATCACTTGAGTTCCTGTGATTAGTACAGCGAAGAAGGAAATGGGTATTTTCATGACAGAAGTCCACAGGCAGATGTTGCTGCTATAAATAACTTGTGGGAAACTTCTTTCTAGCTTGATGGGAAATAGTAAAGTCATTCAGAAGTGCTTCATTTTAATGAAAACAACATGAATTATTTGGGGATGGGGATGGGGATGGGGACATGGATATGAAAATCCCAAATAGCTTAGCTACTGATTAACAATCTAGGGGAAAGGCAGGAGAATAATATAATTTCAAGTTTGTCTTGGGCTCATATGTAGCTGAGTATATGTGCTTTAAGATATAAGGTGAGTAGTTTTAGTACCTTGTTAAATTCTGGGTTCCCCGTCTTGGGTTAATTTTTCAGGCTTGAAATCATGATATATTACAGCCTTTCAACCACTCCCATGCTTGGCAGGGAATTCTGAGAATTATAATCCCATCACATCTGAAGGACAGCAAGCTAGGGAAAGCTGGCATAATGCTTTATTTCTCAGTGTTGTGTGAATGTAATATTCAGCTGGACATAAATCTAAATGAGTTAACAAGTGCTAGGAAACTTCCTACTTTTGTCTAGTTTTAAAGGGGGATGAGGGCAAAAGTAAAGTTCACGGATGTTGTTCCTAGCAAACGGGTTCCCATGGCTGGAACAGATCTTTGTGTATTTTGTAGCATTTGGAGCTTACGTCTTTTCCTACATTACATCCTCCACCCCCAATACTGTATTGCATTTTCAGTTCTTTCTAATTGTGGGAATAACTTAACAGAGTCGAGCCTCGTCTGCGGGTACAAATAAATTAAACTCTTTTAAAAATAGGATGAACTCCAATTAAATACTCTTGAACTGTTTTTCTTTCTCTAATCTTTTAAAAACAAACATTTTCAGACATGGGAATTGCCCTTTTGATTTTTAAATGTGTGCGGATTTTTTTTTCTTTTTTTTTTACTGCTGACTGAGCTAGTTTTGGCTGGGAGGGGAAGAAGGCAAGTTTGAATTTCTATTTTGCCCATTCTACCTTTGACAGCGAGCTGAGAATTGAGGGACAGAAGCAGAGACATCCGTCTGGGGGAATTTCATCCACTTCTGAGATGGTGCTAGGGTTGGAAGGAGTGGAGCTTGGAGCTGATGGAAAGGTAAGGACCACAAAATGGAGCAACCGTTTGTGTTGAAATGTGAACATTTGCAGAGCTGGGGGTCAGCTTCAATATCAGTGGGGAAGAAATCTTTTTCAGAGGTACTGAAGCCATTCGTAATTCATTTGCTCTCAACTCCTTCCCTTGGAAGCATCTCCTTATTCAGTTTGCATGTCATGCTTGCTTGAGCTTATGTTAAATGTTGAAGGCGCTTGCTTGCTCCTTGCACAAGCCACATGGCTAGCAAACCCCCTGCAGGTGGCTTGCTTGAAGTAGTACACGTCTTCCGAATGTGGAATTAGCCAGAGAATATAGCCCAAGTAAAGTTGGGAAATGAAATTCCCTCCTGCAGAATTTTTCCCAATGAATTCCTGTTTCAAGAAAAATCACTACTTGGGAACAAAGGGTAGACTGCGTGATTGCAGAAATCATGGGGAGACTTGCTCACGGTCACGGAACTGTCTTTCAGGTGGTGTCCTATGCAAAGTTCTTGTATCCAACCAATGCTCTTGTTGGCCACAAAAATGATGCCCTCGGTGCGATCTCCGTGTGTCGAGCGACTGCGGCCCGGACTGCTGGTGGATCAAGGTACAAAGTTTCAACAGCCAAAACAATACCTTCCACAGCAGATCTTGGTAAGTCCTGAACTATATTCCGCCCTTCTGGCTTTCTGTATTTTTTTTTTTTTACTTTCGATAAAAAAAAAGCAAACACTGAAGTCGCCTTGCAATAATGAGGATGAATGGAATATTGCCAGCAGTAGGTTTAATGGGATAACCAGATTAAAAGATAACCATGTACATTTCATTTTCTAAAGCAGCAATTGGGGATCCTAAGTTTTTCAAAATTCAGTGCCCCTCTATGTAGTTGTTAGTACCCTGAGAATTAATAATGAAAATTCCATTAATAGAACATGTTTGTATATAATACTTGGCGTAATAGCAGAAAGACAGAGCTCTGCCCTGTGCCATATTCAGCGTAATCTTGGAATGATTTTTTTTTTTTAAACCAGGAGCTGTATTGAATAGAGTGCTAGGGTACACACTCCAAAACTTGGGTAGGGCCAGGACAAATGCTCACATTTGTTTCATGTCATTTAAATGTCAGCTTTATCTTTTGTTTATTTCAAATGAAATAGGATTACTCCCAGTGCATTTAGCCTCAGCACTTGACTTGCCTGGGCTCAGAAGCAAAGCAAAGTTGGGCTTGGCTAATACCGGTGTGAGATCACTAGGAAATCTGTAAGCTGGGCCATTGAAAGCATTCTGGAAGAGGGCAACGTGAAGTTATTTCCATGTTGTTGCCAAGAAAACTCCCTGGACTATGTCCAGGAAGTCACTGAGAGCTGAGCTTGACTTGAAGAGGAATTTACATGTATTTTACATTAAAATTATACTTTTACTGTAAGTTTTGGAGGAGCTATGCAGTTGCTCCCAAGGCTTCAGGAACTCACTGGCTCTGTAGCCTCAGAATATGCATCTCTGATTTTATCCTGCCAAGTAAAATAGCCCCGACCCCCAACTTAGGGGATGTTCTGCCAGTCTAGGCAAATTTTCTTGCCCTTCGGCTTATTTGCTTTGCCTGGATGCTTCCAAACAATGTTTAAGAAAGCACAACTGTAACTTTACTCCCAGTTATTTCTTCCTAACCTGTTGCCTTCCACATTTGATAATAGATATGGAAATCAGTTACTACTTAATTAGTCATTTCTTCTGTAGCCTTGCAGTTTAGAAATTTTGAACATTTGCCAAGCACAAAGAGCACAGAAGCAGAGAAAGACAGGAAAATTGGAAATACGTTCATCTAAGCTTGCTTACATCCTGCAATTCACCTCAGTTAAAAACCATCTGTGGCAGTGTTTCTCAACCTTGGCAGTTTGAAGATGTGTGGACTTCAACTCCCAGGATTCCCCAGCCAGCATGGCTGGCT